TTCTCAAGTCAATTCCATTCCTGGATAACAAGTACACACAGAAATCAAATTTTACAATGATTACACAATTAACTCTAATTCTAAAGTTCTTTAATTGATTCCTCCACTTGCAATAACTTATATGCAGTGACTTTGAGCAACACAAAGTGTGGGCTTTTTTTTTTCTTAACATTTACATTTCATTCCTTGGTACAGAGAAACAGCTACCTCCACTATGGATGGAAGAGTGCTCCAATTTTGCTTGGGGTAGTTCCAAACCCTAATGTGAGAGACAGGACCCATGTCACAGGAGTGAGACATTATCCAACAGAATTGGCACAAGCAAGAGAACAGAAGAGACGTAAGAGCTAGTTCCCTCAGAGCACATCTGAAAAGGGTGGGGAGGATAAGGCAAGAAGGCAGCTGCACACATGGCAAGAAGAGAGTTCTCCCCAGACCATTTGCTAGCCTCTTCATCAACATCTAAGGAAATAAAAGTTTGTTGCTTAAACCATTCAATCAGTTGGTACCTGTTACAACAGCCTGAGAAGACTAGATTAACCTCTAAAAAATTTCTATTTTTTAAGATAATTTAACTCTACAATTAATCCAACTGAATAACTGAGTTACAAAGATACTCTATAAAGAGAATCTGAAATAACTGAATGATTATTCAATTATTCATTCAAAAGCAAATTACTTACATATGTTCATGTGATATTTAAATTAAACAAATGAAACTGTCAGTTTAGAAACAGCACAAGACTTTTAATTCTAAGACATATCACCATGTTGTATTGATTCTGAGAATTCAAGGGGGAAGTGTCATTAGAGAAGTTCTCCAAGGAGTCTGAATTAGTGAAGCCCTTATTGGAGAACAGTAACATAAAAACCAAGAAATAGAAAATGCTGATTCCTTTTGAACAATATTTGTATTCATGGTGAAGAAACTGCAGTGGTGCCATCCCCTTTCTTGGACTTTGCCTCACTATGATAAAAATTTTAACTTTTGTAATTTGATGCTGATCTCATTAATATTCAGATGAAGACCATATATTCATTATTGGCAATCACTCATGTCTGTGTTTCTAAATTCTCAGTGACAAGAGCTGAATTACTAGACTACAAAGTGGCTAATACTTCTGGAGGATTAAGTCTTTCACTCAGTAGTAGGACCAAAGTCACTTTAAATTTCTAGTAAAACTGCAGAAGAGCAGTGCAATTACCCTAGTGGCTAAATCCTCACCTTGCGTGTGCAGGATCCCAGATAAACACCAATTCGTGCCCCCAAATGCTCCACTTCCCAACCAGCTCCCTACATCCGGCCTGGGAAAGCAGTAGGGTATGGCCAAAAGCCCTGGGACCCCTCACCCACATGGGAGATCCAGAAGAAGCTCCTGGCTCCTGGAGTCAGATTGGATCAGCCTGAGCCATTGCGGCCAGTTGGGACATGAACCAGCAGATAGAAGATCTTTCTCTCTGCCTCTCTGTCCCCTCTGCAAATCTGCCTTTCCAATAAGAATAAATAAATATTTTTTTAAAATTGCAGAAGAGCAAATAGGTTATCAAGTAACTTTTTAAAAAAACTTTGGGATGTGGGTGTGTGTTTATATGTAAAAAGAGACGTTTTAAATACACATCTATTATCAGATGTCTATCTGCAATATTTCATAACACACTGGGATTCTTGGACTCAGGCACTCTGTCACTGAACACAATTACTTCATTTAATTTCCTACCTCATTTAATTTAATAATCCTACAAAGCAGAGATTATCATCCCTATAGTAGAATGAGAAAAAAAATTTTCAGAGAGGTCAAATAACCACTAAATTTTTCCAGTTAAAAAATTGCCAAAATTAGGATTTCTTGGGATCTAAAACTCATGTTTTGCTGTAATGTCTTGTCTCCTAAACTTACATAATTGATTTATGAAAAAAAAAACTGTCTTATCATGTTCCCTTTCCCCCAATCGTAAGGAACTATGAACCATCAAACAAAGCATTGTTTATACACTCTTCAATCACTAAATCACCTTAATCCACATAGGTCTGGTGGCAATGTTTTAATACTGGTGGGATTAATGAAGTCAATATTAGCTGAGGAATTCTATGTGCTAGTAATTTTCTATATGACTTAAGAGATAACAGGGTAAAATCACTATATAGTGAACATGACCTTAGGTAGAATACCTTAGAAAACTCCTAGGATTCAATTGTGAAACTCCCTCAGTATCTGAATTCTTTAAAATGGTTGTTAGAAATTGAACTTAAGTAGACAAAGGTATCTAGCTATCCTTATATCTAATATACTTATTGCAGCACTGCTGGGAAGAATAAAGCACCCATTTCCTCAATGTTTTCCTCAATCTAATCAAATTAGATAATATATGTCAAAGTTCTATAATCTATTAAATGAATGTAAAAATTTATTATGAGCAACATTATTTCTCTAAGTCTATACAAACTAAAGAAAAGTTCAGTCTATATCAAATTTCATTCATTTTAAAACTTAAAAATCTGTGTTTATTTTAATTTACTTGAAAAGCACAGGGAGAGGGGCTGATGTGAAGGCTCAAATGGCTAATCCTTAACCTTCAAGCACTAGCATTAAATATGAATGCCAGTTCATGTCCTGGCTGCTCCACTTCCCATCCAGCTCCCTGCTTACAGCCTGGGAAAACAGTGGAGAATGGCCCAAAAGCTTGGGACCTTGCCACCATGTGGGATGCCTGGAAAAAACTCCCAGAAGTTGGCTTCGGATCAGCTCAGTTCTAGCTGCTGCACCCATTTGGGTAATTAAATTAAACACTAAGGCTGGTGTTGTGGCACAACCAATTAAGCTGCCACCTATAATGCCAGCATCTTCTTTGAGTACCAGTTCCATTCTGGACTATTACATTTCTGATCCAGCTCTCTGCTAATACACTTGGGATGGCCCAAGTACTTCAACCTCTATCACCCATGTGAATCCAGACCTTTGGCTTTGATTTGGCCCAGCCCTAGTTATTGTGGCCACTTAGGAAGTGAACTAGCAGTCAGAAGATCTCTCTCTTTCTCCATGTCTTACTGTAACTTTGTTTTTCCAAAATAAAATCTTAAAAAAAGACAAATATATGCTGTCCCTCCCTAACAACCTTTCTCTTTCTGAATCCTCCTAAAAAGGCCACTCACAATCTATTACACACATTCTTGTTCATGTGATATGCTTTGGACAATGAGAGATGAGAGATAATGACAAGTGCCACTTCCAAGCATCTGTTTTAAGAGTCACTATTTTCTTCTTCCTGCACAAGACTTGCGCATCTCACAATGCTGCTTCTTTGTCTTCAGTTTAGGCATCAAGAGATGAAGGAGAGTGGTAAGAAACTCATCAGGGTCATAAACAAAAAGGAGAAATTGGGTTTCTTTTGACAATGAAATGTAACTCAGCCTTAAACAACTGGTACACATTTTTCAGATTTGGTCCTAACACGTTTTGCCAATTAATATCTTCCAGCACTTGTCTCCTAAAGCACTCCCGGTTTTATACGATATATTTTCCTAATGAATAATACATTTAAGATGAGCATGCATGTATGCCAGAGTAGATAGTCTTGGCTTCAATCAAGCTTTCATCAACAATGTGAATGCCTATTAATTTCTGTTTGCAGTCAATAAAGCATTTAATTGCAGTAACAGGATTAACATTCAGAACTCTCAGATCCAATAGATGGTTTGCTGAGTGCCACACTAACACTGGTTAAAACTGAGTTTTCCAAATGGGTCAGTTAGAGAGTACTGTTTCACTTTTTAGACAGGCATTCAAATTAGAAAGTTCAGATTAGGTAAACACTGCCACAAAACTATGTTTCCTTAAATTTTACTAAATTTCCTTTTCAATTAGCAACTGAAAACATATTTGCCATTTCAGTATCAACCTTTTAGTATTCTATAATCTATTCTGCTAACTCACCAAAAATCATAATTAATTGTACTCCCACTGGCATTCTAAAATCCAGATTTTGAATTTTTAGTATGCGTTCCTTAAAATATAGCATAGCAAAGGGAAAAAGTGGCGATTCAGTCCCATTCTTTTCTTTTCAATGCCATTAAGGTTTTGTTGGTATTTATACTCAGATTAATGGCAAATGTTTTTACTATGTGTACAACACTGGATAACAGCATTTAGAAGCTTTGTGTGAATATTTATAAACATATGCTAAAAACAAATGTTGCAGTAAGATTTAACAAGTTACCAAATAAAACTACCATAGGAAAGACTTCAGATTATTTCAGATTTCAACAAATCATCAGTTTGTCATAAAGTATTTAGATGAATTCCACTTTTCATTTCCAGCCTGGGATAACTATACACATTTAAATAGCCATTAAAATTAATACTAATGTATTACTGTCATATTTTTAAAGTTTTTTTTTGTAACAACAGCTTTGAAAGTAAGCCAGATAGAAAAGGACAGAATAATAGTTATCTGAGTTTTAGATTTGATATAATTTGACACATACATATTTTTTAAATAGTTAACTTTTTCCTCATTATGTGATTTTCACATATAAAAGGGGTTTTACAATTCAAACACACATGCCTCTATTATTTCTAAGGTAGGAATAATTCTAAAATGGCTGGGTTGATTTTTTTTTAAATTAAGTCAACAGCAGTACAAAAATAACATTAAAAAGACCAATTTAATGTTTGCTTATATATCTTACCTACAAATATCCAGGACTTTAATAAACTGACTTTCACCAATGTTATACTACTCTGCAGAGAGTTTGAGACAGTCACTTTAAATAAATTCAGAATTTAAAAAGAAAAATTAACTTACTTAATGATGGAGATTAAACTGCCTCTTAAAAAATAATTTTGACAAGAAAAAATATACAGTTATCACACTTCCTCCTTCAAGGTGGAAGGCGAACTTCTCAGAGGGCAAGTTGAGATCAGCTTTAACAGCATGTAGTTCTTGACTGCCTCACTAGTGCCAGGTGAGTATGTAAGATGCACCTCCAGTGCAGCTCTTACCAGGTAAGTCAAGACTTTCCATTGTGATTTCAATGGAACATCAGAACTTCCAGCTTCTGTGATGCAGCAGGATTCTGTGAAAGAGCCACAGCAGAGCAGTTAAAATGGTGAGCCATGATGACCTTTCACACAAAGCTGACGCTCACTGTCCTCTAGTGAAACAATCCCCAGAGAAAATCATCCAAATTAGACAAGCATTCCTATGCTAATGCCATGTAGAGAGAGAAGATTGGAGTATTGACTGCCAATTTAATTTTACATTTTAAAAAAAATCACTAAAATTATATGAGATTAAGGTTATCTATTTGTAGACTAAGAATTATCATCATGTCTCAGCCTTTGGGCTACAATCCAGAGTAGAATTTCAGGCAAATCCCTTGGAAAACATGGGGTTAAACTGACAATGTGATTAATTTCAAGTTACTTTAAATGACCCAATTCAACTAGATGAACTGTGATTCAGACAGTGATATCTTTAAAATCGTCTTAAATGTTTGATAGGGAGGTAAAGCGTTAAGTGGGAATAGACAAGCAGCTGAACTGAATGCGTTAACATTAAAAACTGTTAACAAAATATTATTTTCAAGCTACAAAAGATTAAGCTATAACTTAGAAAGAGTATACATGATTTAAATGGAACATTTTACAATAACACTGTAAACAGATGTATTTCTAAACGTCTATGAAATAAGTTATTTCATTTCTTCATAAGAAATAGTCTCTAAGACGCCTCAGTTGCAGTATTAAATCCATACTCAACTAAAAAAGACAATTTCCTATTCCCAGCACATCATGACAACATATTTCTCTACAATCTGTAAGCTACACACTGTAGAAACTGGATAGCACTTACTAGCTTACAGTTCTGTCGATACTAACAGCTATTTTAAGGCTCAGCAAAGCATAATTTTTTTTTTAGTCAGCTATATAATATGGAAGAAGTGGTTCTTCACATTAAATATCAAAAATGTGTAATGATTCATCAGAGTAATCCAATCTAGAATTAGATGAGTCAGTTGTCACCCAGTGCTATTAATGAAAACAATAGCTAGAAAGAATGAATAAAATATTAAATGGTCTCACGTAGCTTCACACAAGATACTACTTATTCATCCATACCTTTGAAAACATGGTTAGGGATGAAAGAATAAATTCACGTCTTTGAAGAAAATTACAAAGGATCAGGGGTAGTTTCAAATTCAATGCCTACATTTGGGTTACATTTTATGATGGAAGTATGTATCTTCAAACCACTGAAGAAATCACGAAAGTCTGTTCTTGGATCATCATAACAGGCAACTACCATTTACTAAAAGTTTAGTTTAAGAAAATATTATTAGGTGTGCCTCATATTCAGTTACTTTTTCATATAAATTCTTAAAAGCAAGTATATAAAGGAATTACTAAATATGAAATTTAAAAATCATGAGTGAATCAGTACAAACAAATGTCAGACACAGAAACTGACAAACTAAAGATATATGATTTGTACTGCCAAAGCGAGAGGGAAGGGCCCACCTTTAATTAGGACAGCGGGGGCTTAATGGTTATTTGGAAAGGGAGGCTATATGAGATATAAGAAGGCTGGATGATCCAGCAGAGGGAAAATGCTCCAAGCATGGAATGTAACCACAATGACCTAAACACCCTTTACACTAGAGCAAAACTCAACAGATGTTTTGTGTGAGCTATCCAGTAAACTTCTGCATTGCCTGGGTCTAACTTTGGCTTCTTCTCAACTCATCCATCCTCACTGAGCCTTGGATTCCTGATTCTCCATGATCAGTTCCCATTGCCTCTTTAAGGACTTCTCTTTCTTTTTTCAAGGCCTTCTACTTCCCTTCCTTCTCAAATCCTGGCCCTTACTGCTCTGCCACAGCTTAAACTCCCTCTGAGAAACTTCATCACACTAAGTGAGACAGTTTCTCTTAGATATCTGATATGTGCCTCCTTTCATAAACAAGGCATCTAACTTGATATATGCAGAAAAAAGTATCTTAAAGATGTGGTCAAAGTAAACATTAAAACTTCCTAAAGCAGGGGAAAACATAGGGAAGGGGGAGAAACTTGGGGGAGGGAACTTGTCAGCTAAACTGTATCAAAAAACTTCCTGAAGCAACTGCCTTTCCAGTATAGTAAAAACATTGCCCCTTGGGTATTAGGCTTTGAAAAACTTATTACACTAAAAAAATTAGGTGTTACTTTTTACAATGAGGCAAACTCCCAATTAGTGTTAATATCTAATAGAGCATTCAAAGGCACTTTGTGGCAAAATCTGATTCTACGCCAAAATTGTGCGTTCTGCCCCCTGAAGCTACTACTACATGGTCGGTGCAAGAGGGATTCCAGGGTAACCATGCTGCCCACTTACATGGAAGCATTTTTAATCCCCACGAATGACTGCTTTTCTGATGTTTTCATCAAATCTCTGGATAACAGATTAAGATTTAACTAACTCATATTCATACACACCCCTAATTCAATCAAGTTCAATAAAAGTCATTCCGGACTAAAATGATTTGCTAAGAAACAGTTAGTTACATCCAAATGAAGAAAAGGCTAGGCATGACACAATGCACAGTAAATCTGCCTCTCTTTTATAGAACAAGAACAAAAATAGCTAAGCTGTGAAAATAGGAAACAATTTCCCCCTCATCCTCCTGAACACAGAATATTCATGCTTTTATACCTGGAAGTGAGGTGGGACAGAGGAGCCGAGGAAGCAAATTTGAAAACGATTACTTTCAATTATGTTTATGCTTTAAAAGGGTTCATATTACTAGTCTAAGAGTCAAGATGACCTTTCGGAGTCTGCACAAGCTCAGGTCATAAATCAAGAGTACTAACATCTGCTCTAAATAGTCCATTGAATTTCTCCCACTTTCTCAACTAATATAGTCCAAACTCCACTTTATAATAGTTTTTCTTAAAAAGATTTTTCCTATTATAACATGGTTCCTTCTCCACACGAATACAATTCTGACATGTTCCTAAACAAACATTTACATACATAAATGATTATAAATGCATTTAAACACAATTTTCAACTCTTAATTCAGGGTAATGGAATGATGTAGACATGCCTGCACAAAACTTTTTGCTTGATTTAACTAGTTTTGCCTGTCCTATTCATGCATAAGTAAGGTTTCTCCCTCCAACAGCTGTATACATTCTTTTGCTATCAACAGGGCATCCAACAGATTACACAGTATTATAGCACTGGAAACGATGCTGCTTTACCAGATTTACATATTTTTTGCCAATGTAGTCCATGCCTCAGGTCACTGTGGTTTACCACAGGCCAAAGGTCTAAAAATGATGAATGGATAGGCTGACCTCCAGTTGTGCTATTGCTGAAATAAAATATGTTCATTTAGACAAAGAAAACTTTGGGGACATATATACACCAAGTAAAATAGTAACACACAATATGAGCATATACAACTAGCAGTAAGACACAATGTGAGTATATACAACAAGTTTATTAAAATCATTCCTTGTTTTTTTAGTCAGAGCCTAAACCACAACCATTTTATAGATATTTCTTGCCATGTATTAATTGTTTAAATAGGTCTTCAATGGGAAGTAAATACATTTATTTATATATACATATTTATATAATTATACATACTTACTACTTTATTTTTAATTAACATACAGAAAGCATACATATTTATAAGATACAGTGTAATATATTAACTACTTTATGTATTATCCATTGAGGATATATATAACATTTAACATTCCTTCATGGTGAAAATATTCAAATTCCTTTTTTCTAAAGATTTATTTTTATTATTATTTTTTTATTGGAAAGGCGGATATACAGAGAGACAGAGAGGAAGATCTTCCGTCCGATGATTCACTCCCCAAGTGAGTGCAACGGGCCGATACTATGCCAATCCGAAGCCAGGAGCCTCTTCCGGGCCTCCCACACGGGTGCAGGGTCCCAAAGCTTTGGGCCGTCCTCGACTGCTTTCCCAGGCCACAGGTAGGGAGCTGGATGGGAAGTGGAGCTGCCGGGATTAGAATTGGCGCCCATATGGGATCCCGGGCGTGCAAGGCGAGGACCTTAACCACTTGCGCCACCGCGCCGGGCCATCAAATTCCTTTTTTCTAGTTTAAGTGATATATACATTACATTATCATTATTTGTGGTCACCCAAGCACCCATTTTTAACTGTCATTACAAATGACAACTATACCAAAAATACAAATCATTTAAAACACAAACCTGAATTACCTCTTAGTCACCTACTCACTTCAACCTTTGCACTCCCTCATGACCTGAAGCCCTGCAGTTAAAATACACTAAGTATAGTAATAGAGGCGTGGTGAAAGGGAGTGGGGAGCTACTGGGCAAAAAGAAATGGATAATAAAGGGAAAGTTATTTTAGGAAAAAAAAATAGAGTAAGTATAGTAATAAAGGCAAACAAATCTTAACAGTTGCCTTGAAATGCTAGCAACAAGCCCAACTGAGTATCCTTAGTCAATACAGATTTGTCCATTTATTTGGCCTTCACAATAATGTATATATATTGTGAATATATATATGTGTCATATATAAATAAATATGAAATATAATGGCATATGTAATATGATATATATATTATATATTTAAAATCTTAGCACATGTTATTTAAAATAAAGTATATGAATAAGCAAATATGTAGATTTATTTATTCATACATTTATATTACATATAAATATATAAATAAATATATAAATATATAAAATATAATGGCAAGACAAATGACTAGAAAATTCCCACCCATTTAGTTTCCAACACTGCACCAATTTTGAACTTGTATTTCCATAACTACCTGAATACACAGAATAATGGTTTTTTTTGGCTGCTTGAAAATTTAATCACCTAATATGTGTTTTCAACAACATTTTGCTGCTTTCCTGAAACAGATGATCTAGTTGGATAATCACATACACACACAGAGAAGTTACAGAATAATGGAGCAATACATAATAAATCCTAAATTTATAGGCAAAAAAAAAAAAATAGAATAGAATCTAAAAGGATGTCTGTACACAGAATACAGTCATACCTAAAGCACTGACAGCCACTTGGGAAATTAAAGGACAAGATGAGGAATATGTGAGAGGGTGATGGAAGGTTCAACACTTAGCTTCCTGGCAGGGACATGAGGCAGATCTGGATGAGGTACAAGGTTCACATCACACAGTGGACACGTAGCCCAGCAGTGAAGATGCCCTTAGTGATGCAAGAAGCCCTCACGGGAGCTCCTGGACTTGAGCCCTGGCTCTACTCCTGGCTCCAGCTTCCTGTGCAAGGTGGGAGTGTCCCTACCACTCGGGGTAGACATCCCACCCCCTGGCCTCCACCTAACGCCAGTGCAATCCCTGGGCATTTGAGGAGAAAGTAAGTGGTTGTGATATCTCTGGCTTACTCTCTCTGGTGTCCTCTCTCAATCTCTCTCTCCTGACAAATAAACAAAACAAAACAAAATTTAAAACAAGAAACTGGGACAAAAAATGTGGGCAAATGAGAAAACAAAGTGATTTTCTCTTTATTCTGCCCATAGTCTCCTAGAACAATATTAGCAACATGGTGTTATACTAAAGCTACTGACATTAGGGCCTACTACCTTGCAATTGTGAGACAATTTTGCATTTCCCCGAGTTTCTACTCGTCATCTGTGAAATGGGGATAGCAGTCCCTATCATCTCAGGTATCTTAAAAGCTATGGAAGCTATTACAAATAAAAAGCTCCTGGTTAAATAAATGTTAGTATTCTCTGAGTTAAAATTAAGTAGCATTTGAAACAGTTATATTATAGAAACATTGAGATTTGCCTTAAACATTCTCAACATTTAGATGTTAAATGAATAGCTAGTTGCTTATATGGCGTATCCTCGGATTTTATTTTTACTTAGGTGGCTTTAATTTGCCTAATTCTGACAGTCTGAGCAACCACATCTTATTCCTATCAGTATACTCTAGCTGATTTGATCATACAGCTATATTATACTAATGATTATTTACCATGAGATTGTGGTTTTAAGAAGTATGGCAAAACTATGAATTTCTGCAATTTCCATAGGCACAGGTAGAAAATGAGTAGGCGTTATTCTAATGAGATGGCTTGGCAGGGAGGCACTAAATGCCTCTTTTATACTCCTATGAACTACATAAACGTGCCTTTGACCTTCTCAGGCAAGGGAAATTGCACATTTAAAGCAGAAAGAGTTTTACTTCCAGGAAGAATATAAAAACATGCTTGCCAGCAGCTAGCTACACCAGCAATAATGACAAGGGAACTCCCTCCCAGATACTTAGGGAAGATTCATTAGCTCTATCAAGCCACAGAGCATTAAACTGGAAAATAAATGGTTAGAACTGTCCCAGCCCCATCACTTCCTCAGCCAACACCACCGCGGAATATTCCTCGGAGACTGGGAGAGCTCCAGTAAATGTTGACCTACACAGTATAGGAACTAGCATGAACCTTCAGGCAGAGTTCTGCAAATGAAGCCCACTGGAGAAACCTCGAGACCTCTTTGCCCTTTAAAAGAAGAACGAATTCCCTTGGTGACTTTTAAGTGGGCAACAACTCATAATATAATGTTACTATAGGGAAAAAAAAGCATTGGTCCAAAGTCATTTTATAAAAAAGGAAGTCGGTAGACAGCAATTTATGTAATTTTAAATGAAAAATACTCTGTTCCAGGAAGTAAGATACTAAGCTTCCTACTTTTTCCTTTATCACCTTATTAAATTACACAGAAAATTTAAAGAAATATAAATATAGAAATACAATTAAAATTTAACAATGTCGCTATTCAGATTAAGATTGTTACCTAAAAAAAAAAACTCTACCATCCAGACACACCCTTTCATGTGTGCCTCATGTATTTCCACAAGTTAGTTTACTGGAGAAAAAAAAAATCTTCCACCAGACATTTTAATTGAAAGAATAGCCCTGTTCTGAAAATTCAAACAACTTGATTTAAAAATGTCTCACGAATAATATCAATTTGCTTCCTTCTGAAATCATTTATTTGCAATGCATTATTCTTACAGTAAATAATGCCACATAGTAATTGGTTATTTAAATCAGGAAACTCCCAGAAATATTCCTTAGGATGTACAGTTAAAGTTTTCATAGGTAAAATCAAGCAAGACCTAGGAAGCTTAGATGCCAGGACAAAAAGATATTCAACTGGTCCATGACCAAGCTGGGACAATACTCCAGGTACCCAAAGTGCTTTTTTCCATCATGCCATCCTCATAGGCAAATGAGAGGCTGGTCAGTTCAACTTCTTTGGCCATACAGCAGATAAGGCACAAGTCAGTCAGAACCTAAGCCCCCTCCACACTACTCTTCTACAATTTTATCCAACAGTTTTTTACAGTATAACAGGAGATTCCAGACCAGATCACATCACATCCCTACTGTTGCAGTTGTTCGCAGCAGCAAGGGTCAGATGGAAAAGTATCATTAAAAAGGGCTTTGCCCAGAGATATAGAATCAACTAGGATGTTCACCAACAGGTGCAAGAATAAAGAAAATGTGCTCTCTCCACACAGAGGAATATTATTCAGATACAGAAAAAGAACAAAGTCTTAACATATGTGGAAAAAAATAGACAGCCCTGGAAACCATTATGTGAAGTGAAATAAGCCAATCTATAGACAAATACTGCACGTTTCTCATACGTGGAAGCTTGAGAGAAAGGGAGAGACGGGGTGGCTGGGGGTGGGGAGGAGATCTGGAGAAGACTGATTCCTGCAGGCTGCAGAGGAGAACACAAGAGGACAGAAGCAGGTGGAAAGTGCTAGCAAAACAGTTAAACAGAAAAATTTTGTTCTCCATGTTCCAGAGCACAGTGGAGGCAATTACAGCTCAGAACAATGTATTACATATTGTATGAAGCACAAAAGACAGGAGCTGGTAGGCTCCAAACATTAAGGATAGGAAATAGGCTAATTATCTGGTTTATCAGCTTATGTTAGAACCTATAGTGAAATTCTGCACTGTGTCCCACAAACATATTACACATTAATCACACACACACTAAAAAAAAGGGTTCAGTCAGAGAATGTTTCCTGGCCTCAGAATATTTTCATAGTTCTAGTTTGAAAACAACAAAGATACCTTTTACCTGTAGAAGCAAGCAGAAAAATAATTTTTCTGCTTCTAAATATTTTTATAAATATCTTACATTAAAAAATTAGTTGCAGTAATACATGTGTAGGGAAAGGGATATTTGAGATTTCTCTGTACTTTCTGCTCATACCTGTTAGAAACCCAAAACTATTCTAAAACAATAAAATATGTTAAGAGAAAATGTTCTTGTCAATTTCCTTATCTTTTAACAATATGGGTATTGTTAAACAACATGGTACATAATATACTGATTGCAGTATGACAGTTTTGAATATATGAGCAATAATTCTACCTTAAATACTCACCCCAATAGAAATACCTTGTACCAATTAAAATTATGCCCTCTGTTAAACTAACCACATGCCCCACATTACCTCTGCACAGTATAATGCTCCGGCAGTAATTAACTCTCAATAAATGCTCTCTGCATTACTTGTTATTGCTCCTCTCACATTCAGTGTTC